TTCCGTACGGGAAATAGATAGTCCCTTAAAAAATCAAAATTAAAAATAAGAATCAAGAATCTTGCAACTGAAGTCTGAAGAACATTAGTGTTACTGTGTAAGAAATGTGCAAGAAATAAAAATGTGTATCCCTTTGCACTCATCGCTCCACTATCTTTTCCATGTCTGTGATCATAACTGAATGCTAGTTTGAGGTATTAATCAGAAAAAAATCGTATAATCGTTGAAAGTGGGTTAAGATTGTACTAGTAAATGAGGTGGAATCAAGTACAATTGAAAATGAGTTTATTTTATAGCCATTGTTGCGCGCAGTCATGTGAAATGTAAAAGATAAACCATTTTCACTTAGATGTTATGGCACGTGCTGGTACCAAATTGCCAGATTTGTAAAAAAATCGCTAAATCGGAAAACTCTACTAGATGAGAAACCATGAGTCATGACACCACATGAATCGAAAAAAGTGAGTCCAGTTCCCAGACCAAGTGATATTTGAACTTCTTCTAAGGCATCTTTAAGAATTTGTTTGTCTTCAGTGCTTACCTCTCTAGTCCTTTTACTAACATCTCCCTGTGTGCCAGCACTTTTGGCCTCATCAACCACTTGATCATAGCTAAACATGTCAATTTTGCACTTTTTTCCACCACATGTACAATTGGTATGGCATCTGTTGCAGCAAATGTGCTTTGGAGAGATGGTAACTTCCTCATCTGTGAAGTGGGATAGAAGCAATTTTCTTATACATTCACTTTTATTCTTGACGACATTTCTTATGCTGCGTTCACATTGACCAAGATGCTTTCCTAAATAATGAACAATGTTGTAAGCTTGGCCACCATCTCTTCCAGCCCTTCCTGCTTGTTGTAGGTGGTCAGACAGGGATCTCCCAGGTCCAAAATGCACAACATACTTTACATTGGGAAAATCAACCCCCAYGCTAAGAGATGTTGAGGCGATGACTACTCTGGCATTGCCATTACCCATAAATGAATTTGTTACACGCTCTTTCATTGCCATTGGAGTGGCAGAATAATAAACTCCCAGAAGACAACGTTCTGGCAATAGTTCTGTTCCATCAAGGTAAGCATTTCTTCCTAGTTTCATTAGTAGTGAACTCAGAACGAGGACAATATCACTAACAGTGTGACAGAAAATTATTGTGAGAGGTGCATTTGCATTTTCTGTCTTCAAAAGTTCAACCAGCCAGTCAAAACACCTGAGTTTCTTATCAGCCTGAGTAATGGTAAACCTGATGTTTTGCTTGTTTGGACTAATCACAATTTCTTTATGGGAAGAAGTGAATCCAAGAAGATTACATAGTCGCTTCCTCATATCTTTATATGCAGTAGCGGTTAATGCCAGAACAGGCTTTTTGCCAAGGAAAGAACGCAAATCTTTCACCAGACCAAATGCTTGTCTAAATGCTGCTTTCTGTTTTGTGCCAGTGCCCCTGAAATAGAAAAACATTTAAGTGTTACAAAAATAGAGTGATAGTGATATTATCTCTAACATGAAAATTGTAATCATTTACTATATCTATATGATAGAGGACTTGTACCTCTATGTTAAAAGTAGCAATTAGGGGTTGAAGCTATAAAGACGAAAGTGAAAACAAAAGACTAGAATAGATGGAAATTGATTGACTTCTTCGCACAAGTTTTAAATATGAACAGTGCTAGCTACATCATACTTGATTAACGTACAGTATACACAAATACACATAACCTATATCCAAAAAGAATTAGCTTAATGGTGATATAAAAATATACGCATAAATATACGTTGTTACAATAATTCAACTTATTATCAAGAGTTTATGATTTTGCACATAGCTTGCATGAATAGCCTCGTAGTTTAGCCACGTAAGATTTTAACTTACAATAAGTATGCACTTACGCTGTGTTTAAGCCTCAAAACCATGTAATGCAAGAGATCCGTGAGTATAGAAGACAATGGAAATAGTTTGAAATCTCACGAGTTTTATCTAAATTTCTTAATATTTTAGCACACAATTGAGCACATAAAAGAGATCACGAAACTCAACTATTATTAAACTCACCAGGTTTCAACAGTGTACACTTCGTCCACCACTAGAAAATTAACCTCTTTGAGGGTTCCGGAGATTGACTCCATTTTTGAGATCATCATTCAGCACTTCCGAATATTATTTCAAGATCAGCAATATTCTTATCGTCYATGTCGTCCATCGCTTCGAGTGTGGCCGACTTGATGCCGTTGGCACTCAAACGTTTGCACTGTTGCGTTCGAATTAGTTCGAGAGGACTAACCACAATAATCTACCTTCGGCAATAACTGGTAAATGAGAATTTTGCCGTATCCAGTTGGAAGGACGCTGAGGACATCTCTTGACTCGATCAAAAGTGCTTTCAAACACAATTCTTGCTCGTCCTTGAGAGCGATGCCGGGGAATAACTTTAATGCTTCC